AATAACCAAACTCAAATTCAAAAACACGAGAGAGCTCTGAGTAACGTATATGTGTGATTGGACGAAACTAGAAAGTCACTTTTCATGGCTTCAGCTTCGTCTCCGTCGTTCTCCCTCGCCGGCCGAGTCGCGATAGTCACCGGTTCATCTCGTGGGATTGGCCGAGCCGTAGCCATTCACCTAGCCGAGCTCGGTGCGAAGATAGTCGTCAACTACACCACCAGATCCACTGACGCCGATCAAGTCGCCGCGGAAATCAACTCATCCGCCGCCGCTGATGGTGGTCCGGAACCTATTGCCGTCGTGTTCCGCGCCGATATCTCAGAGCCGAGCCAAGTTGAATCTCTCTTCGAAGCGGCGGAGAAAGCATTTAACTCGCCGGTTCACATCCTGGTTAACTCGGCTGGAATCGTCGATCCCAAGTACCCTACCATCGCCAACACTCCCGTTGAGGATTTCGATCGCATCTTCAGGTAAAGCTTTTCTTCATTTTCGTGGAATCTTGTCTCTGTGATTAAGAGTCTGTGAATATCAAAAATGCATCTCTATCTCACATTGCTTATGCTGATTCATGAAATTTCAACACAGCCGTGTGATTGTGATTCTTGCAATTGTTCGATTTCGTTGTGGTTCTTGTACACATGTTTGATCATTCAATAAACAGATATTGCCTTTGGAAAGTGATCACCAATTGAGTGAGACTAGAGAGAGTTTGTGATTCTTGACATGTTATTTGTTCAGGGTGAACACAAGAGGAGCATTCTTGTGCTGTAAAGAAGCTGCAAAAAGGCTAAAACGCGGAGGCGGTGGTCGTATCATACTCCTAACGTCTTCATTAACCGAGGCGCTAATCCCGGGGCAAGGAGCTTACACAGCATCAAAGGCAGCCGTTGAAGCAATGGTGAAAATTCTTGCCAAGGAACTCAAAGGTTCAGGAATCACAGCAAACTGTGTGTCTCCAGGTCCTGTCGCGACTGAGATGTTCTTTGACGGGAAGAGCGAGGAATTGGTGAGGAACATCATCGAAAAGAGCCCCTTTGGTAGGCTTGGTGAGACCAGAGACATTGCTTCTGTTGTTGGTTTCTTAGCTACAGATGCTGGTGAGTGGATCAATGGGCAAGTTATTGTCGCTAATGGTGCATTCCTCAAATGAATACGGTTTAGACTTTAGAATGTTTTACACACTTTTAGTTATCTACCTTCGTTTCTTCAATTATTGGACAAAACCTGTCCTTTATTCAATGTTTAAGCTTTTGAAATTAAAGAAGTTTGAAAATGCAGGATTCAAAGTTTCTAGATGGAATTACAATTTCCTGAAGAAGTTTGAGCTGTGAATTGAATTCAATCTCTTATATTTGATGGTGACTCAAGAATCCGCAGTATACTACAGAACATAACCAAAACCCAAAACCAATCAAGAAGCAAAACCAGAAAGCTCATAGTGCCACAAAAAGCACCAAAATACTCACCAGACTCAACCCGACAATCGAACCAGTGCAATGCCCTGATGTTGGATCTCCGATCTGAATGGGGAAATTACATTGTTCTCGAGAAATGTTCCGGGTAGTTATCATCGCAAGCCCTTCAAAGTCACACGCCTCTGCCTTCTGATTCTGCACCTGAAAATACATGTTGAACGCATACGACGCGTTGCCTACCTCATCAAGATTACCACAAGAGGAACCATACCCCAACGCGGTGCAGTCAGAGAAGGTACACGCGTAGTTAACGTTATCTCCGAGCTGGTTAGTGTTGTTACTGAAACTATGGCCATTAGGGTTTAACATACACCACTGGTTTTGCAAGTACTGAACATTCTGAGCTCCGGTCAAGATCTTCTTCTGACCTTCCCCTGACAAATCCGCCGGAAATTTCGGTTGGCCATCGTATTTGAATATCCCCCAATGACGTTCAAAGTTTCCTGGAGCTATACTCTTTGCATCTTCATCGATGAATCCGAAAAGATAAACTTCGATGTAACCGGGACGCGTAGGTGTTCCTCTGTTTGCTGCTAGCTTCGGAAGCAGACCGGTATAGAAACGTTCTGCGTTTGGGATATTAGCGTTCTTATCACCATCCGTTGGCCAACCAACTTCTCCTACTATAACCGTCAAGTCTCCATGACCCAATGCTCTTAGTGAAGCCAAGAGTGTATCGAAATTGGCGTCGAAGACGTTTGTGTAGATAACGCCGTTATCGTTAACGGTGTTTTGGCCGTTGAAGAAGGCGTAATCGAAAGGGAAATCGCTACTGAGGTAAAGACTTAAGAAAGGGTAAATGTTGACAGTGAAAGGAGCTTTGTTATGAGCTAAGAAGTTAACTATGAGTTTCATCTCTTCAAAGATGTCTTGACGGAATCTTCCGGCAGAAGGAACCGGATTTTCCGGCGGAGAATTGTAGACGTCGGCGTTTAAAGGTACGGTGGCTTTGATGAAATCTCCAACTCCAGCTTCGTTTAATGCCTTTTGAATGTTGAAGAGTGCTGGATACGTTAGGTTTATGAATGATCCGTTGTAAGCTGTCAAGAACGGTTCATTCCCAACTGCGACGTATCTGCAAAAGAAACTGATTTAGTAGTTTCAAGCAAATTCTTTTTGAAGAGATGAAAAGGTCTAAACTTTTTTTGTTACTTGATTTTAACTGAGTCGTTGAAACGAGTGATGTTTCTTCTGACCCAATCTTTAGCTCTGTTGTAGTTTCCCATGGATTTGAGCTGATCGTTAGGGATTGCAACCATAACTTCGATGCCGGAGTCGGTAAGAGCTACCATGGTGTTTGTGTCGGCATCGAAAAGCTTTACTTTTTGTACGTTGTTGTCTTTCAACATCTGTACTACTGTCTTTGGAGGGAGCTGGTGAGTTGACATGGTTCCCCAGTTTACTCCCAAGGCGGAGACGTCACCGGAGAGGAAAGATACGGC